TCTGTTAGGATGACATTACAGAAGACCATCTGAGAAACTATTATATCATGGCATGAGAGAATACTGCCACTTTGTGGTACATAAGAGACATGCATGCAGAGGTATAACGGTGAATCTCATGAAAATTACGGTTTAAATTCAATATATATACCATTCAAAAGTTAAATTAAATTGATTAAAAGTGACAGTAAATACTTTTATAATGCTACAAAATATTTCTATTACAAATAATCTGTCTAATCATTTCTAAACTTTGGATTAAAGGCACAATATGTATTTTTTTTATTAAAATATCCAAAAAACACTAGAACAGTGTTATATATTTTGCTGACTTGTGTACTTACATTATCCCAAATGTTTCGAAGAATGTTTAAATCCAGAGAAATAAGCAATTTTAACTAGTGAGACGGAGCGTGTCCATAGTGTCATTGTGTCGCCTGCCAATGACGTCATAACCCCTCGATTTCCGGTTTTGTTTTGTAGAAAACATGGAAACACCAAAAACGCTTTAATATGTTGTGCGTTTTGTTAGACAGGTGACGACCGCACAGAGTAGCATTATAACAGAACTTTCAAATGTATCTAGTATGATAAAACGGTGCTGCTTTTTTTTCCCCACATACGCACGACCGGAAGGCGCAGACTGTGGCATAATAAAAGCTCCGCTGCTTTCCAGCCGTGTGTCGCGCTCGTTCAGCGCCTCGTTTCGCTTCGACGGCTTTCAGCCTCACCCTGCTTCATTCTACGACTTTTATAAATCATTAGCTCATCCATGAACATCCATGAACAAGCCAATAGGAAAGAAGACGGTAGAGCTCATGTGATCGTTCTCCTCTCAGCGCCGTAGATAAACATACGCAATGGAAGAAAAAGTCTTCCAAAAAAGTTGCTGCTAGTGTGAACGGGGCTTTAATTGCAAAAGAGCGACCAGTGGAAAGAATGAGTCTGGAGCCCTGAATTGCCCAGCTCCCTCTGTCAATGATCTAGCACCCCCTCAGCACCTGCGTTCACAATTCTCTGGCGCCGCCCCTGGTACATCGATGTATTTTTGAAAAGCAAAAATTAAGTTTGTCCAACTCTAAACCCAGTCCCCAAGTAAATTAGGTTATTAAATAAAAAACTAGCAAAACCAGTTGCGCGGTGTCCCCACCACTTTTCAAAGCAAAGTTACGCCACTGGAAAGCAGCAAATCAGAATGATTTCTGAAGGATCATGTGACACTGAAGACTGGAGTAATGATGCTGAAAACTCAGCTTTGCATCAGAGGAAAAAAATTACATTTTAAAACATATTCCAGTAGAAAACACTTATTTTATAGTGTAATAATATTTCACATTTTTATTGTATTTTGATCAAATAAAATTAGCTTTGGTAAACACGGATGCTTTTAAAATCATGTAAAATACTTAACCGTTTAAAATTGCTAGTCATACAAAATTGGGTTTTTAGAATAAATGTACTTCTGAGGTTTCATGAGATTCACTTCTGAAAAGAATTAAGTTTAGCAATTAAAGTCAAATTCATTTCACATTATACCAATTTTTGGTATAATTTTACAAAGCATTCATTCTTAACCAACAAACAGACACAGAGTCTCTCCTGTGGGTTTTATGTATTTTTTTTTAATTACACATTAAATAAGACTGATGAGATTAATGCATTTATAAAACCGTGCAGATCTGAGAACAGCTTTCCTCATCTTAATAATCACATTCACCAAAACATGACCGATGCGAAAGACGACCTCAGATCGGCACTTTCTCATAGCCGTTAACACACGACCCTTAATTACAATTAAGTGTCATTCAATTCATTAAACCAAAAAAAAGCACAATTTACAAAATAGTCATCTTTCTTATCACAACCGTACAAAGGCTGTTAAAACAAGGTCCATGTATACGTGCACCATTTTATCAACATTTGCAATTGGCACACAAACAGACAGAGAACATTTCAGAAATGATTCAAAAAATATCTAATGACTTCGCTACTCGCGTTACAGACGGCTAGTAAAGGATTTTAAAGGGAACAGAAATCACCCAAAACACTTTAACTTTGCATAAGAGCGGACATCCTGATTTATTTCCCGTTTTGATTTCTCCGTATTAGTGAAACTGTGATATAGAAACAATTATTAGAAAAACGAACTAGTAATGGTTAAGGACGCATGGCAAAACGGCTCACTGAAGGTTTTAAAGCAACATTCTGCTCGTATATATTGTAAATCTCATGACATCACAAGTATTGTCACACAAAATAAATCGTTATATTACTCTCTTTGGTTTGAGTGATGGCTGAAAATGTGCCCTCCAGAGCTAAGCTAGCCACGTTTTACCATAGTATACTCGATCGCGACGGACTCTTGTGAATTAATGCGTTCAGCTTCGATTCGACTAGAATTGGTCTTCTAGAACTAGAATGTCTCGATAGTTGATGGCAGCATAAACAAACAAGGCATTTGTTTTCTTCCGTTTTTTTTTAAACGTATATTTGCTAATCAAAATTTAGCAAAAACAATTCAATGTAATTACTCAGACTTCTAAGGCGCTGTTTGGCTGGGCACAAGAGGGTAAATATTCATACGTCATAAAAATCCTCCTCTGAGCGCAGAAGTGAGGCGTTCGCTAGTGTAGATCCTTACAGAAAAGAGATTCGAATTATTACACACTCCCTGGAATACTTGATTCTGATTGGTCAACTGCAGCTTTATATTTTTTTAGTCAGAATTTGCTAAGGGGTAGTAATGAAACAACAAGTGATTTTTCACTATTACTTACAACAGGATCTGCATTTTCATGGGTTTAAATAAAAGACTTGTGTTATACGAGACAACTTTCTGCATCAAAACCACTCCTTTCCTGGAAAATAAAAGAACTTGGTTTTCAAAATTCAGCTGAATTTAACAGTTTGTCTGTCAAAAAAATAACGTGCACAATATTCGGTCGTATTTACGAGAAGCCAGCAGAGGTTCAGGGAGTGCACACATTTCCAAAAAAAAAAAACTAATGTACACACAAACGTTTTGATGTTTATCGCTTTCCGAAAAGAAAATGTGGCCCGAGCGGCTTCAACACGCTGTCTGTCAGAAACGTAACATGCCTAATACATGACGCATGAGAGTATAAATTTGTTCTTCAATCCCTGAAACTGACAGGTGACTTTTATAAAATGCAGATCACCATCTTCTCAGTTGTTTAAAAACTTCAGTTAATAAAATGTTTAATTTTGTTGCTTAAGACGATAATTTTTTTTACATATTACTTCTTACCAGATTTTGACTTGTATATAAACCTTCATGAATTTAACTAAAAATATCACAATGGCCTCGTTGAAACGATAGCGCCTGTTTGGACCAACTGAGAAAATCCTTTCTACACAGCAGTGGCTATTATACAGTATTCAACGCATTACCGTTCCCTGGAAGTTTAAAGAACAGAACACAGCATGCAAACAGGGAAATAAGGTTAACGTGGTTAAGATTTCACCGTATATACACATTACCATGGCTTTCGAGAGAGGGCGCGTTAATCCGACTACAATGGAAGTTCACATGCAGGTTGTTTTTGGAAGTCTGGGACATCCAAAGGCAGGGTCATACACAGTGATAATGTATCAAAACACCCCCTGAAAGTGTTGGTCCTAAAAAAAGTAATTCCTCAATGTTCCAGTTCCTGTAAAATCAAGTGACTCACATGCAAATTTCACGGCTAAACAGCTACACGGCTAGTTCTCTCTCATACAGCACACCAAAAGCCTTGTCTTCAATTCCACACCTTTCTTTATAAATCTGCTAAACTACTCTAAACCAACTGCAAAATAACACCAGCTCTGACAGCCCACCCGATAAAATAAGCCATAAAGGTGACCAACACTTTGGGGCAACTGGCACCGAACGAGAAGTAAAGCTTATTTCTTTTAAGAAAGCAAGTAGAATAAGGATCCATTCTGTATTTTGAGGAGGCCAATAATTTAGTGTAATGTACAAAATGCAGTTGTGAAACTTTTTTTTTTTTTTGAGTCTATTGTGACAGGAAAGGCTTGTTCACATTAATATACATTTTGTTTTGGATTTCTTCTTTTTCTTCTTGCCCTCCTTGCTCATCTTCTCCTTGTGTTTCCGTATTTCTCGGACTAGTGTATAAAACGCGTCGTCCACACCCTTCAAAATAAAGGGAAAACAAGAACTGTAGGTGATTATCTAAAGCATCAAACACTATAACCAAAAATAAGAATGTCTTTTTACAGATCTATGACCAACTTTTGCTGCCATATTCCAAACATTAGCCACTTAACATTAAAACTGGCCTCAGATAAGTGTTAAAAAGGCCATCTTCACCAAACCTGAACAGTGAAAAAGAAAAAAAAAAACACCTGGAAACAGTAAAAGAAATGAACAAGAAATGTTTTAGATAAGAGTGTGAATCTCACAAATAAATGGTCATGTTCCGTCCCAAAAGCAAACAAAAATTGAATAGCAAATAAATAAAGAAAAAAAATAATATTATATATATATATATATATATGTGTGTGTGTGTGTGTGTGTGTGTGTGACCCTGGACCACAAAA